TTAGCATAGGGCTGTGTCTGATGAAGGGTGTCACAAAGATGTTCTGTGTTCATCTGCAGCCACAGAATTCTAGATAGGCATATCCATACACACAGACACACAGCGACTGTGTAGAACTGCTCACGTGTAAGTCAACGGAGCTCGATGAGAAGACACACATACTCATGGTTGTGCCTGCCTCCCTCGTGTACTCCTTTGTGAGCTGGGTACAAACTCATGGTACTGGGCCATGGTATAGTGTATACACATTATACATGCACACATGTTAGTAGACATAGATGTACCTGCTCTTTCCCTTTTATTTTTTTTTAACTGAGTTTCTTGAGACAAGGTTTCTCCGTGTAGTCTTGGCTATCTTAGAACTCACTCTGTAGACCAGGCTGGCCTCACAGAGATCTGCCTGCCTCTGCCTCCATAGCTTTGGGATTAAAGGTGTGCACCACCACCATCTGGCTTCTGCTTTTTTTTTTTTTTTTTTTTTTTTTTGAGACATGGTTTCTCTGTGTAGCCCTGGCTGTTCTGGAGCTTGATGTAGATCAGGCTAGCCTCAAACTCAGGGATCCTCCCAAGTGCTGGGACTAAAGGCATGCATCACAAGACCCAGATCTCTTGTCTCCTGCAGTCTTTGCAGATCCACCTGAGGCAGTGAGAGACCTAGAAGCACAGCAAGGGTGGAGAACAGAGGGCATCCTGGCAGATGTCCCTTCCTCCCACAGACCACAGTTGTAGCTCTGGCACCAGGAATCTTGTGTTCTGTCTTGAGTCATAGGTTGGCAACAGGGCCAGTAGGCAGGCACTCAGTGATGGCTTCCTGATTCACCATGGGGCCTCCCAGCCCAGGGGGGAGGGGGTGTCTGGGAAATGGGAAAGGAGGTGTTTGGGAAAGGGGCATCTTTCTGGGCCAAGGACTATGGAGAAGCTTCATGTATTGGTTTTACACACCCGTGAGCCTATGGGCAGACTCTTATATAAATGAAATCCCTTAAGCAAAGTGAAGTATCTGTAGGCAAGAATGTAATTACAAGCTGTGTATGCATGCCTGTACATGTGTATGCATGTATGTGCCTGAGCAATTGTGAATCTACCTTATGTATTGCTAAGTCTCAAGACTAGAATTTCTTCTCCACCTTTTTTTTTTTTCTTTTGAGATAGGGTCTCACTGTATAACTTGCTGTATAGGCTGACCTCAGACTCACAGAAATCTCCTTGCCTCTGCCTCCCATAAACTGGGATTAAAGTGTTTGCTACACCATTATATCTGGTCTTTCTTTCTTTCTTTCTTTCTTTCTTTCTTTCTTTCTTTCTTTCTTCACATTTATTTATGGGGGGGGGGAGGCATGCCACAGTGCATGTGTGAAGGTCAGAGGACAGCTTATGGGGATCATTTCTTGCCTTCCACCATGTGGACGACTGTAAATTCCTCAGGCCTAAAGGAAAATGCTTTACTGGAGGGGTCACTTCACTGCCGCCTTTTGGTTTTTGAGCAAAGGTCTCCTGTAGCCCATTATGTGCTCAAACTTTATCGATATGTAGCCAAGAATGACTTTGAACTCCTGATCCTTTTGCCTCTACCTCCCAAATTCTGGGATTACAGACTTGCCCCACTGTACCTTCCATATGGTGGTCATTGTTTCTGATAGCCATTCCTCACAGGAAAGTCCCCAGGGCCCTTAGCTCACCCAGATTAAGTCCTGAAAAATGTAGAGTTGGTTTGTTTTTGTTTTTTAATTTTAATTTTTAAAATTTATTTAGTGTCTGAGTGCCCTATTCCCATGTATACCTACAAACCAGAAGAGGACATCAGATCCCATTATAGATGGCTACGAGCCACCATGTGGTTGCTGGGAATTGAACTCAGGACCCCTAGAAGAGCAGACAGTGCTCTTAACCACTGAGTCATCTCTCCAGTCCCCTGTTTGTTTTAAGTTTTCAAGACAGGGTTTCTCAGTGTAGCCCTGGATGTCCTGAAATGCTCTGTGTAGACCAGGCTGGCCTCAAACTCACAGAGCTCTGCCTGCCTCTGGCCTCCCAAATCCTGGGATTAGAGGCATTCCCCACCACTGCCTGGCCAAAAAAAAAAAAAAAAAAAAGTAGTTTCTTGGTCATTTGTAGCAATGAATGCTTTTCTACAGACTATGGGGAAAGCACACACATTTCTATTTTTCCTGGTCCATATGGAAGAAGGGCTCAGGCCACTGAACCAGTTTCCAGATGATTGATTGATTTATCTTTTTGATACCAGGAATCAAACTCAGGACCTTGGGCATTTTACTTTTAAAAAAAAAAATGATTTATTTGGTTTTATTTTATATGCATTTGGTTTTTTGGTTTTGTTTTTTGTTTTGTTTTTGTTTTTTTGAGACAGAGTTTCTCTGTGTAACCCTGGCTGTCCAGGAACTCATTCTGTAGACCAAGCTGGCCTTGAACTCTGAGATCCTCCTGCCTTTGCCTCCGGAGTGCTGGGGTTAAAGGAGTGACTACCACTGCCAGCAAGAGTGAACTGTTCTTACAGAGGATTCCCCACACACACACCGAGCAGCTCACAGCCACCAGTGAAGGAGTCAGAGCGCTTGGAATCAGCATTGACAGTTGTGGACTGCCATGTGGGTGCTGGGAATTGAACCTGGGTCCTTTGGAAGAGCAGACAGTGCTCTTAACCACTGAGCCATCTCTCCAGCCCGGCATTTTACTTTTGAACTAGATCCTCAGCCCAATTTCTCAATTACTAAATGAAGCATTAAACTCGGTATAGTGGTTCATGCCTATACTCCCATCACGTGGTAAAAGTAAAGTGTTACCAAGAGCTGGAGGCCAGCCTAAGTTACAAGTGAGTTCAAGGCCAGTTTGGCTACATTTTCTGTAACCTTCTCTCAAAAACAAACAAACAAACATCAGGCAATCAAACAACCAAACAAAAAACCCAAAGTAAATAAGTAAATAAATTGTATGGCTCTCAATGGCAGAATACATGCTTAGCATGCAATGCTCCAGGCCTCAGTTTTAATCCTGAGCACTGCAGAAAAATGGAGGAGAGAGGAAAGAAAGGGAAGGAAGGCCAGATGCGGTGGCACAGGCTTGTAATCCTGGCACTCAAGGAAGCAAAGGCAGGCAGATCTCTGAGTTCAAAGTCAGCCTGGTCTACAAAGTGAGTCTAAGACAGCAAGGCTACACAGAGAAACCCTGTCTCGGAAAAAGAAAAAGAAAAAGGAAGGAAGGCAGACAACACTGAGAGCAATGTTGCCTCGGATACTCACCTAGCTGATGGTGTAGACGTTATTACATTTGATGTAATATCTCTCTAGATATTTTAGATTTTTGAGACCTAGTTCCCCCTTTTTTGGCAGGAGGGGGATTGAACTCTGGCTATCCTGGAATGCACTATGTAGACCAGGCTGGCCTGAAACTCACAGATCCACACACTGCTGGGATTAAATGATTGCACCACCATTCCCCTTTCAGCCATTTAAAGATGTTTATTTTTATTATTTTAAATTTTGTGTCTGTATGTGGTTTTGCATGCTCCAGTGACCACAGAGGCCAGAAGTGTAGGATCTCCTTCACTTCCTCCTGCAAAGGCAGGAGGATCTCAGAGTTCAAGGCCAGCTTGGTCTACAGAATGAGTTCCTGGACAGCCAGGGTTACACAGAGAAACTCTGTCTCAAAAAAAACAAAAACAAAACAAAACAACAACAACAAAAAACCCCAACAAAACAAAAAACCACTCTTAACCACTGAGCCACCACCTCTCCTGTCCTTCTCCAGCTGTTTTTGAGGCAGGCAGCCAGTAAGTTGCCCAGGCTGGCCTTGAACTCACCCTGTAAGACAGACATGCCTTGAACATTTAAACATCCTATCATCCTCTCAAGTAGCTGGTGAACTCTTTCTTTTTGAGACAGGGTCTCATTATGAAGCCACAATTTTCCTGTCTCAGTCTCATGAATGCTAGGATTGCAGGTATGTGCCATGATACCTGGCTTCGTTTAACCTCTCCTTTAAAAAATTAATTATGCCAGATGTGGTGGCTTCTGTTCTTAAAATCCCAGAACTTAAACCCTGTGAGTTTAAGGACTGGGCCTATGTAGCGAGTTCCAAGCCAGCCAGGGCTACACAGTCAGACCCTGTCTCTAAAAGAATTTCTTATGGTGTAGGGGTGGGCACCTGAACCACTACGAATGTATGGAGTTGGTTCTCTCGACCTTCATGTGGGTTTCAGGGATCGAACTCAGGTCACCAGGCTGGCATGCTAAGCATCTCCTGCAGCTGAAGTACTCAAAAGGATAGGTTTATTTTGATGGGAGTGGGAAAGCCAAGATGGGAAAAGAGAGAGTTAAAAACGGCTGCAATTCACCCTGTTGGCATGATGTATGCGGCATGTGGCATGTGAGGACAGCTGCAGCTCAGCCTCTGGAGCCATAGGTATAAGTGCAGCAAGGCCCACCAGCGAAAGCCCAGGAATCCCAGCCGGTGTGTACACACCAAAGGCAGTGTCACTAGGAACACAGGACATTTGCCATGCTGATACAGCTCTGGACGCATGTTCCTCGAGCACAAGAAGGGCTGGTGAATTCTGGTTAGAACATAGCATGCCTCTGCCCGCTAGGGGGTCAGCACTTTTCAGTCTCCTGACTGAGGAGGACCTGTTCTATCTGGTCATCTTGAAGCAAACTGGCCCCTCTCCATCATGACAGATCTCACCTTGTAGTATGAGGCATTTCCCCAAGGCTCGCAGTGAACAGGCTAGGAGATCTCTAGCTTTTTCTTTTTCCCCAGAACTTCAGTCTTTTCAGCCCAACACTCCCTCCCCTAAGTGCCCTCCTACCCTTGTGCCAACCTACCCTTAACGCTCAGCTCCAGTCGCCCCGGTCCCCACCAGCGCCCCAGGCTAGGCGGTGGGTGGGTGGTGGCTGCACTCCGCCTCCCCTCCCCGCCCCCGACAGGGCTCTGAGGGTGGGGCTCCGCGGGCGGGGCTGGCCTGCGGCGCACGTGCATATAAGGTGCCTCCTGCGCTCTGGGCCGCCGCTCTCCGCGCCCTCCACTAGCCACTTAGCGCCCGCACATTGGACCGCCTCACCATGGGTCGACAGAAGGAACTGATGAACCGATGCGGCGAGATGCTCCACATCCGCTACCGGCTGCTTCGCCAGGCTCTGGCAGAGTGCCTCGGGACCCTCATCCTTGTGGTGAGTGCGAGGAAGTGAGCAACCCTTTATTTTTTCAGGCCACATGCTCCCCACTCCTCACTCAACTGGGGACCAGCACTCCAGCTCTGCTCCCCAGGCTCAACCCTCAGGGTCAAACTGACCTCGCCTTCACAGTTCTAACTCAATTCTTGACAGTGTTACTCACCAGGACCGCTCTGTTCTTTCACCTTTCCGCTGGAGACAGAGACCACAGGCTGCTGGAAGGGACTTTCAGCACCTTCTCTTCCCAGTCTCCCAGCTTCCCAGAGTCCCAGCCCCGGGACACAATGGAAGCAGAATCAAATGGACCGCCCCTTAAGTTATTTGGATCTTGGGTATTTGGCCACTAATGAATAATTAAGCCTCAGAAAGTCCAAAAGTTGCGGTGAAGTGAGGACGGATTACCACAGGTGGGGGCAGAGGACACAGGCCTCTCGGGCTGTCAGCAGCAAAATTGGAAGAATGGAATGTCATAGAGATAAGGCGATTGTGGAAGAAAACAGGGCCCTACAGAGGACTGGTTCCTCACATGCCCTGCTGTAGTCCTTCAGATCCTGTGTGCGACCCTGAGGATGCCAGAGCCATTGCAGACGATTGCTGGCCTTTTGATCCCTCCTCTGCCTCTCAGTGACTCCTCCATGCTGAGGTTTCTGGAGTTTAGCCCTCAGTTGTTCTAGGTAATGTGGGGTGCACTCCTTGGTCTGACAGGCAGTTATGGTTTTCATTTCCTATTTCAGTTACTCTGATTTTCAGCCATTAATGGCATTACGTTTGTTTTCCTGAGTCTCTTCTGAATTCAGTTGCCTCATATAGCACTGGTTGAATTACTTGAGTTCCAGGAGCTGCCTCAGTCCTGGGTAATGTAGATCAGTCAACCAGCCAGAGAGGATGATGGTGGGCCAGGCTACACAAGGAGCCTCTGACTTCATAAACTAGTGGCCTATCAGTTGTCCCCATTCTCTCTCCCCTCTGTGCCAAGAAGTGAGTGGAGCGGTCGCATTTACCACCTTCCTGCCACTGCTCCGTTTCCTGTCTTGATCTGTGAGTTCAGCCAACTGTTTAGCAGCAGCTAGGACAAGGGAGTGTATCTTCTCCTTTCACAGAGGGGCCTCCTTATCCCTTCCCAGTTCTCAGATCCACTCCATTAAGAAAAGAACAATCAGTCCCCGCTGAGTCCCAGGATCATTTGGCCTATCCCAGACCACAAAAAGAGGGTGCTGGATTTGTGGTGAAGGCTTTCAGGCTCAGGTAGAAGTGAGGTATCAGGTGTCAGTGAAAAGCAGAGCTTGGGGTGGAGGTGGCAGACTAGGGGATCCCCTGATGGCTGAGGGCTTGCTTGTGTACCTATCATGGGGGCCCAGAACCTTGTAGCATCAGAATCCAGGTTGGCTTTGGGTTGAGGAAAGCCCCTTTCTCTGAAGTAAATAGTTGGGTAGGGTGAGGGATTGGCTAAGAAGCTGGAGACAGGGGTGAGGGGATGGAGAAGGAAGAGGAAGATTAGCCCCAAGGTGGTAGAACTGGCTTTGATAGCTCCTCCCTTTGATGCCCCTTGGCACAGAGCCAGATCTGGGCCTCAGGCAGGCAAAGAACTCAGGCCAGGGTCTGGCTGGGCATACTGCTTCAGACCATCACATGCCTCCACCCCATACTCTTAGGATCTCTGACTTTTGCCCTCACCTGCCCAAACACCTTTGCCCTGCATCACCACCCTTTGCTTCCCCTGTCTCTTCTTTCTGAGTGATAATAATCAGTACTTAACAACTCAGTACACAGGCTCTGGCCCAGTATAGAGTTCATGGAACCCAGCCTGCTCGTCAGCATAGTGCTTTTGTTTGTTTGTTTTTGAGACAGGGTCTCTCTACCTAGCTCTGGCTGTTCTAAAGACCAAACTGGCCTCTGCCTCACAAGGGCAGGGTTCAGGCCCTGCTCAGCATAGTACTCTTAGTTATGGAGAGTTGGGAAAGAAGACCCAGGGCTAGGCTGGAGGAGCTTTGAGGGACACTAGAGACAACAGCACTTTACAGTTGGTGGAGAGTATGTTCATGTTTGAACATACATTATGTTCTGTACATGTTGAACCCTTTTAGTCCCTCCATCCCAGGTAGAAGGGTTAGAACAGATCTCACAGGAGTTAGAGAGCAGAGCCACTTAAAACTCTTCAGATCTGAGTGGAAATCCTGGAGGCAGAGGGGCTGGAAAAAGAACAGGGAGGTTAGCTTGGGGAGAGGGTGCTGAGTGAGGGCATGATGAAGGCCAGATGTGCAGACATCTCTATACTCTGGCGTAGATTCAACCTAGCTTTTGTTTTCCCTCTTGTCTCTGTATCCCCCATCACCTCCACTCTGACCTCAGCTTTGGAAGAGTGGGAGATGAGGCATACTTCCTACATCTGTGTGTCCCTTCTGGAGGACGGAGACATAAACTGTCATAGTGACACCCTCCCTCCCTCCCATGCCCTTCTGGCAAGAAAAACCAGTGAATGTTAATTAAACAATCTGGGTTCCCAGTCATACCCATACAGGGCTCTGCTATATTCAAAATAAAACCTAATTGGGTGAAGACATGTCTCCTCTTTCTGGGACTTGCAGTTGTAGCAGGAGGGATTTGGGTTATATTCCAGTTTTCTCTGTGGTGACAGGTCTTAGTGGAACTTCATTTGCTCTGTTTTCTAACAGATGTTTGGCTGTGGCTCGGTGGCTCAAGTGGTGCTCAGCCGGGGCACCCATGGTGGGTTCCTCACCATCAACTTGGCTTTTGGCTTCGCTGTCACCCTTGGCATCTTGGTAGCTGGCCAAGTGTCTGGTAAGCCCTCAACCCAGCCTCAGTTCTCAGCTCTCAGCATCTCCAACAAGTGTCTGGCTAGAGAGAAGAGGGAGGGGGCACCCCGAAATGCTGGTCCTAACAACACCCTGGCTCTGGACCCTTTGGAGACAGGGTGGAACAGAACCTTTGACTCTCAACCTTGGAATAAAAATTCAGTTTTGACATAATTCAATGGCTGTCCTGGCCAAGAAGTCCTAACTGCACCCCAGAAAGGAGGAGCACATGGGCACTCTGTGGTGGTGGACTATAGCCAATAGGTTCTATGTTCTCTCCTCAGGAGCCCACTTGAACCCTGCTGTGACCTTTGCCATGTGCTTCCTGGCACGTGAGCCCTGGATCAAACTGCCCATCTACGCACTGGCACAGACGCTGGGGGCCTTCTTGGGTGCTGGGATTGTTTTTGGGCTGTACTATGGTAAGCATTCCCCATCTTGCCCTTCTCCACATGCTCTCCCTTTTGAAGTACCTTGTTGGCACCAACCCTATTGATGACAGCTAGGCCTGCCCAAGCCCAGTGCTCATGACTCATTCATTAACACTCAGGCTCAGGTTGGGGGCTCTGGAGGAAAGAAACAAGTTTGGCCACAATAGGATCTCACAGCCTTCACCCACCCTGTTCCTCTGTTCACCCTGTTACTCTACCTGTTCCTCTAGAATAATATGCTTACCTGTGGTCCCTGACAGGGTGGGAAGGGCAGGTTAGAGGGAAGGTTCTGCCCTCACTCACAGTGGGTCTAATCTGTCTCCAGATGCGATCTGGGGCTTTGCCAACAATGAGCTCATCGTCTCCGGCCCCAATGGCACAGCTGGTATCTTTGCCACCTATCCCTCTGGACATTTGGACATGGTCAATGGCTTCTTTGATCAGGTATGTGTTGGGGGACCTGTGAAGTGAATGCAGAGGGAGGAACAGACTATTTTGGACAACACACCTTGATTATAGCGGGGTTTCTTAATTCATGGGAACCCTGACCTAGGAATGTGGTGGCAGCTTCCCAATTTTTTAAAAGATTTATTTATTATGTGTATAGTGTTCTGCATGCAGGTATACCTGTATGCCAGAAGAGGGCACCAGATCTCACTATAAATGGTTGTGAGCCACCATGTGGTTGCTGGGAATTGAACTCAGGACCTCTGGAAGAGTAGCCAGTGCTCTTAACTTCTGTGCCTCTCTCCAGTCCCCTCCCAGTGAACTCTTGGCCCTTGCAGGCATCCTAGGATCAGCAGAGCCAGGAGCTGTCCTTCACCTTATTCTCTCCACTCTCCAGTTCATAGGCACAGCCTCCCTCATTGTATGTGTCCTGGCCATTGTGGATCCCTATAACAACCCTGTCCCCCGTGGTCTGGAGGCCTTCACTGTGGGCCTTGTGGTCCTGGTCATTGGAACCTCCATGGGCTTCAATTCTGGCTACGCTGTCAACCCTGCCCGTGACTTTGGCCCTCGACTTTTCACAGCCCTGGCTGGCTGGGGCTCAGAAGTCTTCACGTAAGTACAGCCCCCTCCAGCCTACTGTAGCTCTCTTCCCTGTCTGCCTGTCTCTGATTACCAATGTCTGCCCTCCAGGACTGGCCGGCACTGGTGGTGGGTGCCCATCGTCTCTCCACTCCTGGGCTCCATTGCTGGTGTCTTCGTGTACCAGCTCATGATCGGTTGTCATCTGGAGCAGCCCCCACCCTCCACTGAAGCAGAGAATGTGAAGCTGGCCCACATGAAGCACAAGGAGCAGATCTGAAGGGGCAGCAGCCACCCCCCCACACTGTTCACTCTTGAGTATCCATTGACTGTGTGGGGCCACTCTCTAAAAGCCCCCTCGTGATGCCTCTCATGTACTTAAGAAGCTCCCTGAATCCATCCAAACCTGCTGGATGGTCCCTTCAGAATTTCTACTGAACTCTGCCTAGTAGGGAGTTAGGCTCCCACCCTTAAGCCAAGGTAGGAGAGCAAGTAGGACCAAACATTCTTTAGTTTCTCAAGAGGAAAGAATGTGCAGAGAGAAAAGGCGGGAGTGTGCATGTGCGCTGTTTTCCAGGCATTCAGGGCAAGGGGCCAAGTTTTCAAAGCACTGTAGCAGTTCAAGGGAGCCCAGGGCAAGGGAGGTGAGTCAGGAAAGTGCTAGAGTGTGAACGCTTCAGGGATTCCATGTGCAGGTAGACCCAGAAGTGTGTTTTTGAGTATGTGTGTGTCTGTTCTTTTTTAGAAGTGGATTTCTAGGCTTGGAGAGGGGAGAGGGATAAGAGGGTACAGCTCGTATGACCCTTGAGTAGGGGCTGTGTAATATGCTTCTGTTATTAGCTGGGCATTGGGAGGGGGTTGAAGTCCAGGTTATAAGTTTCATATTTTCTGTTTGTTTTTTTTTTTAATATATAAATATACACATACAGTCTTAGGAATAGGGGTAGGGAAACTCCACTTTTTAAAAGGTGTTTCCTTTAATCCTCTAATCAACAATGTACTGTTGCCTTTTATATAAAAAATAAAATATATGCATAAAACAGCAAATGTGCCTTTTTGCTTGTTTTCGTTTGTTTTTCAGGCAGGGTCTATGTAGTCCTGGCTATCCTGGGACTCACTATGTATACCAGGCTGGCCTTGAACTCATAGATATTTCCTGCTGGCATCAAAAGCATGTGACAGCACACCAGAGTCAAGCTTCTGCTTTTCTGGGACGAGTATTAGAGCTTTGGTGTTATTTGATAGTAAGCTCCCAAGTGTCTAGTTCAGAGTCTAATCTCAGCTTGTGTTCAGTGGTCCCCAGATTCCACCCTCTGGGCATCTTCTGAATCCTGTCTCATCCCCTTCCCTGGGGAGGGAGTCTGGAAGAGGCTAAACTATGTCTGGAAGAGGCCAATCAGACTGGGGACCTGTACTGTCCTCTGTTGACGCTTATGCTCCGTCCAGACTTTTGGCTGTGGTGCTCTTAGCAGCTTCCCTACAAGGTCAATCCACACAGGTTTCTCAGGTACATCCCTGAGAATAGGGATCTCTCCATGGTCCTCACCACACCTGAGAATACTCCAGTCTTCTGCATCCAGGTTCTCTGTCTCTACCCCAACACAGTGCTGTACCTTTACTGCTGGCCACTTTTGGGGCCCTTGGGCCTTCACTCTGAAGTTTGTGCTTTCATCTTTGCTTGTTAATATGATCTGCATTAGTGGTGTTCCCTCCTCTAGGCAATGGGTCACTCTTAAGCTTTGCTTTGTCTTCTGACCTAAAGTCACTGCCTGAACCAAGAACCTTTGTTGTGTCTGCTCAAGTCCCCTTCTGTCTCATTAGTCCAAGACATGTCTGGGCCCAGTAAGGCATGGGTTGTGTGACTAGCCTGGCACACCTGAGCCCAGGAAGTGTGCTTCATTTTCAGCTTTTTAACTATAGCTGACTTAAGTTTCACCAGGAATATAAGGGGACTCTTCCTGCGCAATTCACCCTGTAGGAGCCAGAGGATCTTGGGCATGCATGCTGGTGCTTCTCAAAGGCTCCTGTTCAGTGGCTCCTTCACAGATGAGACACAGGCCTAGTAAGGGTAACCAGCAAATTTAGACCACATAACTAGGACTGTGACTGGGGAGTCCAGGTGGGAGAAAGCAATCTGTTCATGGATCCCTACCCTTTCCTTGCCCCAATCCTAGTAGGCATCTCTGGAATGTGGGAAAGACCTGAGCCAGAGGGAGTGTCCCTTTCCCAGACCCTAAGGGAAAAGAATGGTAAACCTTGGGAGCAGAAAGAGCCTGCAGTTTTCTTCAGCATACTATACCAGTTTCAATCAACAGCCATACCAGTTCCTCCTCAGACCCCATCCATGACTCTACCTCACCATCATTCCTTTCAAATCCCACCAGTCAGCTGGTGAATGGCAGGAGGCCTTCAGGCACAAAGACTATAAGACAGTAGAACCTGTGACCCAGGCCCATCACAGCCTCTCTGTTTGTGTTCCTTTTCTGGACCTTAGTTTCCTTATCTGTGACACAGGGGTTAATAAAATGAGTAAATGATAGGAGATGATTTACAAAAAGGACTTGACATAGGCTGGTGAAATGGTCCAGTGGGTAGAGGCACCTGCCATCTGATCTGTGGAACCCAGTCCTTGAAAGTTGTTCTCTGAGCTCCACACTTGCACCCTGGCCTGTACACACACACACACACACACACACACACACACACACACATACACACTAATAAACATAATTAAAAACTTAAGTGGGAGTAGCAGTGACCAGAAAACAGGAAATAATAAATGACCCCTCTTGACTTTATACTGACAGAACCAGGACAAGGTGGGACAGTAGGGGTAGAAAGGGATGCTGAAAGCTGTTTTGTAAGGCCATTGAAATCAACAAATGTCTTTCACCTCAGATTCCTTCCACAATTGTGAATTTACTGACAGATAGGAGGAAGTGGGGTGGTGGTTTGCTCTTTTGTGCCAACTGTGCAAGGCTCTTGGGATGGGTATAAGAAAAGCAAGACTGAGTCACAATTGTGTTAGGCAGTGGGAAAGGGAATATGTTGGCTGGACTGTCATACCTGGTTAAAGCTAGGAACAGTATGTGGAAACATGAGCTAGGCAGCCACTTTGTGACACCTCTAGGCAAGGAACTCTCCATGAAAACTCCACTCTGAATAGACAAAGTTATGGCTGTTAGCAAATTCAGGGAGGAAAATGCTGTATTTCCTGCAAGAAAGTTTCTCCTTCATTTCACAGAATTTACCTTCAGGGAAGCTAGGGAGAATTGCCTCATGGAAAGGCAGCCGTATCTCAGGGCTTGCTGAGGCTCTTTATGATTCTGTACCAAGCCCTCACTACAATCCTTTGAAGAAACCATTTCTTTCTTTCTTCCTTTTTTTTCTTCCTTCCCTCCTTCTTTCCTTCTTTTCTTTCCTATTTTTTTTTTTTTTGTTTGTTTTTGAGTCAGGCTTTCTTTGTGTAGCATAGTCTGTCCTGGAACTTACTCTGTAGATCAGGTTGCCCTTGAACTCACAGAGATTGCCTGCCTCTGCTCCCTGAGTGCTGGGATTTGAGGATTGTTTCACCATGCCTGGCTCCTCAGGACTTCTTTCTCTCATGGGTCAGGCTGTCAGAATCTCTAGCTTTCTTCATCTTTGGCTCTCTCTGTGTATTCCTGCCTAGTTCTTCATGTACCTCTTAAGAGGCATCTCTGTATATACTTCTGAGTCCATTTCTCTGTGTACTTGGAGTATACCTCTAAATGCCAGTGACTCCAGCCAACCGTCTGTGCTCCGGGGCATGTCTTCTTAATTCCTGGTAATGAGCTCTGGTTTGCTGCTAACTCTCCTTGTTTTTTTTATTTTTTATTTTTTTCTGAAAAAGCTGGGTGGGGCATCCCCAAGCTTGAAGAAACTTGGGTGAGGTAGAGTTGGGTGGGGTGGGAAGACAAGAAGAGGGCCTACTCCACCCAGTATAGAAACCCTAGAGCAGCATTTCTCAACCTGTGGGTCATGACCCCATTTGAGGTCTCATATCATATACCCTGCATATGAGATATTGAGATTACGATTCATGACCATAACATGAAGCTACAAAGTATCAATGAAATAATTGTGGTGTTGTGTGTGTGTGTGTGTGTGTGTGTGTGTGTGTGTGACAACATGAGGATCTGGATTAAAGGGTCATGGCATTAGGAAGGTTGAGAACCACTGCCCTAAAAGCTAGAGAAGACTCTGAGCCCCCAAGGATCTAGGAGCCAGCTGCCTGAGGAAGGAGAAGGAGCCTGTGCTTCAGGAAAAGCACCTGAATGGTCCCAGGTAAGGAGGAAGTGTGAAAGAAGGAGACACTGAGATAAGTCCACCTTTTAGTCCAGGTTTCTGGGAAGAGCCTGCCCAGGAACCCAGGGAGGGTCTGCATGCCTGGAGTTTTGGCCATAGGCCTCAGGGTAGCAGCAGAAAGAGAGACTGGCTTAGGCACCATCCCAGTGGGAGGCTTCAAAGGAACACCTCCTTTTTCTAGAAAGCAAGAAATGGACTCAAAGTCTCCTAGGGTCATGTAGCAGAAGAGCAGATTCCAGTCCAGATCTCTAGGTCTCTAGGACTGCAAGATGAACCTTTCGAGCAACCAGACTCGGGCAGATAGGGGTCTCTGTTAGCATGGCTCAGCTCTTTATTCAGCTCAGTGCCCAGAAGGCTAACACCCATGAGCTGTCTCACCTCTTGTCATGGTTTCAGTTGACTTTGGCAAGTAGGAAGCACATATAGGAAATAAGAGAGCAAAGAGGGTAAGGGAGGAAGGTCAAGGTATTTGTACCTGTTCTAAGAATCCATCTTCTGAGTTCTAGACTGTTGCCCATCTTGCTCCTTCTAAATGAGGGCCAGTGGTTGCTGTCTTTCATTCTTTTTTGTTTGTTTTGGTTTTGTTTTATTTATTTATTTTTTTTGAGATAGGGTTTCTCTGTGTAGCCTTGGCTGTTCTAAACTAGACCAGCCCGGCCTCAAACTGACAACAATCCACTTGCCTCTGAGTCCCTGAGTGCTGGGATTACAGTGTGCACCACCATGCCTGGCACTGCTGCCCTTTTTTTTTTTTTTTTTTTTTTTTTTTTTAAAGATTATTCAGCCATTTATTTAATGTAGATGAGTGCTGAGTGCAGTGTGTACACCTGTATGCCAGAAGAGGGCATCAGATCCCTGTATAGATGGTTCTGAGCCACCGTTGTGGTTGCTGGGAATTGAACTCAGGACCTCTGGAAGAACAGACAGTGCTCCTAACCTCTGAGCCATCTCTCCAGCCCCCTGCCCTTCATTCTTAATGAAACCCAGTAAGGATCTGACAAGATTCTGCTGGATTCTTTTCTGTGGTTTGGCTTTTCATCTGTTAAGTAGGGGTAGTAATGGGACCTACATCCTTGGTTGTAGGAGGTGATAATGTTGGTGACAGGCCTCCTCTGTACCAAAGAGGGACAGTACGTGCAGCCAGGCTCAGAAGTGAGGCTCCCAGCCCTCCAGTACCAGGAGCCTGCAGGTGAGATTGAAAACAGTCTAACCTAAGATCTCCAGCCCCCTACTTCCATCTTATAGTATCAAAAGGATGAGTGTGACCTTCCCATACCTTCAGGGCTCTCTGGGGAGAAAAACCTTACTCCAATCATCCAGACAGATTTTTCTGTTAGTCTTCAATCCTCTACTTTGAAGAAGTCATTTGGGTAAGAGTTATTACACTAGCTCTCATTCTCAGCACCTACCTCTCCCTCTCTCCTTCTTAACGCCCCCACTTCCCTTTCCTCTCTCCACCCCTCCCCCATCGGTGGTGCTAAGGATGGAAGCCAGGGCATCATGTGTGCTGGGTAGACCTTATCCTTGAGCTTTAGCCTGCAGTCTCCATATTGTTTTGAAGACTCTCAGGATCTGTGCTGACCTCTCTCATTTCTTTTCCTTGCTGCTCAGAGCCGAAGAGGGCTGGCTGGAGAGGATTCTGGGAGGCCTGATAATCATCTGGGTATAGTTCAGTGCTTGTTTCCATGG